GAACCCCTCTAAAAACTCTGGAGTTGATTTTAGAAAAAAGTATTTTTTTTATGAAATGATTGTGATTATGGAGAACTGTGAGCATCATGTTCATCAGACTTAAAAACAACAGGGTGTCTTCAGTCTGCATCTCCGGAACTGCTTCTGCTGGAGAGCGGCTATAAACATTTGAAGTGTCTTTAAAAAACCCATGAATCCGCCTGGGATGCATTAAGTATTTTTGTATTGTTTTGTGTTTTTTTTATGAGTAATTGGTGCTTTACATGTAGAGTTTACTCCAAGCTGTCCTGGTTAATCTTTCAAGCCTGAAAGTCTATTTTACGAAAATGCAAACTCATACTTCACCTCAAAATGAATTCTGTAGCCAGTCTCAATTCTAAACAAGTACCATTGCTTGGTTTTACAGTTTTTTTCTTTTGAAAATTGCTGATTTGTCAGCAGAAAAGCTTTTGTTTAATGCAAATAAGTTTGATTTAAATGGATTCAGCTTGTTGTTGCCTTTCATTAACAAAGAGTCTTTCTTCACCACTCTGTGTGTCGTGGAAATCAGAAAAATAATAAACTGAAAATGCAGATATAAGAATAAAGTAGATACTTTTGTGCAGAAGTGTCAGATGAATATCTGTACCTATGATGAGTCTGTCTCAGCCTCTGTTATTGTTGATAAGCAGGAAAATTCCCAATGTGAAGTTTTTTGCTTCAAAAACACAAAAATTTGGATGGTGGATCAAACTGGGGTCAACTTCCAAAAAAAATAGAATAAAATAAAATAAAAAAATCAATCCACTGGACTTTGTTTCCAAGTTTGAAGATGTTTCTCTTTCCATCCAGGAAGCTTTTTCAATTCAAAATGTCAGAAATAACATTGAGTTTGAGGCTTTATAGGACAGGTGTTAAACCAGTTCCAGAAAGGGCCGTGTGGCTGCAGTTTTTCTTTCCAACCAAGCAGTAGCACACCAGACTCAATTCACGTCATCAAGTCATCATGTTCAGATTGAACACCCTTGATCAGATGACTGGAGCCTGGTGTACCATTGCTTGGTTGGAAAGAAAACCTGCAGCCACACAGCTCCTTCTGGAACCAGTTTGACACCCCTGCTTTGTAGAGTGGACCAAAAATAAAGCCTTATTTTGGCTTAGAAACATGCAAACTGAACCTGACCAGCGGTTCCGTCCCTTTGGAATGGGAGTCGTTTTGTTTCTTTTTTAGCCTATAATACCCAAAATCTGTCTATGTCTCTGAAAAGGTGGTCATTAAAGGGACATAGACAGAGACATAGACAGTTTTTACAATAATTCGGAAAAAAATATTTTAGTGCACCAATGATGATATGAGAGCACTCTCTGTTCCTTCTAAATAACAATCTGTTCCTTAACCCCTTGATATTTATCTAGTTTTCATATACAGACAGCTCTGCAGAAAAGGAAACAGTATGTAGTGTCTATCAACCTGTTGTCGGAATATTTTGATTTCTCTTCTATTATATATTATTTATCCTATTTACTCACTTTAAAAGTTTTCACTGAGTCTGTTTCACCGTGAAGGCCACACCATTCTCTGCAGGATGGTGTTTGTAGACCAGACATTGCTTCTTCCCATAACAAAACAGATTCTTTCTCAAGGTTTATTCATAACATGTTACTGTTAACCAAAGTGTCTGTAATTTGTTTTGACTCTGACTACTTTTCCATTGTTGTAAGTCAGGAGGAACGAACGCTGCCCATGCAGAATAGGACAGAATGCTGTCCCATTAGGGCTGTATGATGACTGTTCTCTCTTTGCAAAGATATGAATAAATGTTCTGACTGAGTGAAATCCATCGATCTCCTTTTATTTAACTAGGGTGAATAGTTTGAATACTTTTTTCCCATGACACAAACCTAAAAAAACTCCTGGATAAGATTATGAACTCCAGCGTTGAGTGCTTGCATGCTTGGAAGTTCTGACTCTTGCCCGGCAGAATGCTTGAATGTGTCCTAAATGGCCAAGCTCCATCTTATATCAGAGATCTGATTGTTCCTTATGTTCCTAATAGAGCACTTCGCTCTCA